CGATCGCGACCTCATCTTCCTCTGCCAGGCCAACACCGAGCAGGGCAAGGCCGCCCGCAAGTACGGTTTGCGCGCCGCCGAGGAAGTCTTCGCCGACCGGACCTACACGGATGCCGGCTTCCTGACGCCGCGCAAGGAAGCCAATTCGATGATCAAGGACCCGGCCAAGGCGGTCGAGCATGTCCGGCGCATGATCGACGAGCAGGCGATCTATTCGACCTCGGGCAAGCGCATCCCCTGCCAGGTCGATTCGATCTGCGTCCACGGCGACGGCCCGACGGCCGTGACCGTCGCCAGGGCGGTCCGCGAGGGGCTGGAGTCGGCGGGAATCCGCATCGTGCCGCTGCCGGAGATGCCCAGCCTCCGCCATTGAGGTCCGGGGCCATGCGTCGCGCTGGCTTGTAGGGCGCGGCATCGCCGCTATAGTCCGGCCGACCCGATAGGGGTTTTGCGGCGGGAGTGGCGTATGGCGGTGTTTGGCAAGGCTCAGTACATCAAGCGTGTCGAGGATGACCGGCTCCTGACCGGCACGGGTGGCTTCACCGACAATCTGTCGCGGCCCAACCAGGCCCATGTGGTCCTCGTTCGTTCTCCCCATGCGCATGCAAAAATCCTGAAGATCGACGCTTCGGCTGCCAAAAAGGCGCCGGGCGTGGTCGCGGTCTACACATGGGCCGACATGGAAAAGGAAGGCGCCGGCAACTTCGCCTTCCCGACGATGTTTCCCGCCGCCGACGGCAGCAAGCCCGAGATGACCCCCCGCCGCTCGCTTGCGCATGAGGTGGTCCGCTATGTCGGCGAGGCGGTCGTCGCCATCGTGGCCGACACACGCGAGCAGGCCCAGGACGCGGTCGAACTGGTCGACATCGAGTACGAGCAGCTCCCGTCGGTCACCGAGATCGAGGACGCGCTGAAGCCGGGCGCGCCGCAGGTGTGGCAGGGCGCCCCCGGCAACATCGCCGGCTACAACAAGTTCGGCGACAATGACAAGGCCGAGGCGGCATTCAAGAATGCCGCGCACGTCGTGTCGCTCGACATCGTGCACCAGCGCCTGATCGTGAACGCGATGGAGCCGCGCGCGGTGATGGCGGAATGGGAGAACGACCGGCTGATCGTCCATATCGGCAGCCAGAACCCCTCCGTGACGCGCGACACGCTGTGCGATGTCATCCTGAAGAT